TCTCCTGATTTTGTGTACTTCTTCCCAAATCCTAGCCTGAAAGCCTCTATCCGGACTTCTATAGTGGGCTCCTAACTGGTCTTCCTGGTCACGCTGTTGCTCCACATAATCATTTCTTCACATAATTGCCAGAATTCTCTTTTAAAAGGGTATATCAGAATTTAAATTTCCAATAAAATCTCAATTCACTACTTCAAACTCTTAAGATTACTCATCTGGTCCCTGACCACCTTCACCACGTTAACATTACACTACACAGATTGCTTGAATTTGGTATACCCATCACCATTTCAGATAGAGTTAACCTCTACCTGGACTGCTCTTCCCCTAGATCTGTATGGCTAGCACCTTTTCCTCATTTATGTGTAAAGTCAAATTTCACATACTCTGAAATGCTTCCCCATCTTCATTTATTGATTGATAGAATTTTTCTCTATCTGAAATTATCTTATCTGCTGTTCCCCATTGAACTAAGCTCTTTGAGCACAGGGATAATTTACTCCTTATGATATCCTTCAACTTTAGGACACAATGCACAGTCCCTAGCACACAATAGGTACACAATAAATATCTGCTAAATAAACAGGTAAAGAGGTTACAGAAAGGGCACATTCCTTTTAAATTTCTTAACAGTTTCTTGGTGATAAAGACAACAATAATGTGAAAGTTTTAAATATCAATCCTACTCTACCCAATAAAGTGCATCAGTTTGTAGTCCGTATCCATTCACAATACAACTTATTTAACAGGTCCAAGATAGGTAACCCTTCCTCAGTTAAGGTCACTAACCTACAGAGAAGCAGTCATAATACAAAACTTTAAACAGGTTTCTAGAAAGAAAACAAGATTCTCATTCATTACTCTAACAACTGAGTTGGGACCATAAAACTATTAAGTATAACAAATAAAAACACAACTCAAAGGATTAGGCATATATTGCTTATGTAGTTCCTTGCTAGGCCAGTGCTATCAATACACCACTTACTACCGCTGTTTGAAATAGAGCTGAAATAGGAAGCAGTTAATCTGCTTCACTCCTTTCTTCCTATTCTCAACTACTTGGTAGTCCAAAGGATTTGCAATGGGCAGTTAACAGTGGTTTTATGCATTTACACTGGCACCTTGGCAAGTCAATTAGTCTGAAAGTTCTTTTGATTTTGAAAAGCTGTCTGATCAAAGCTGTACTTTGAGTTAGAGTTGGTCCATTCCACTAAATTGAAGGATACACCTGAGAAGAGTGTTTATTTTTGGATCTGTAATAAATTCACTAGTGGCTTAGATGTTGCAACCCTTAAAAGGTTCATTTAAAGGTACTACAATAGGGATTTGGAAGAGTGTATTTATCTGCTTCTTTCCTTGGCTTAATTTCCTGCTTAGCAATGTTTTAATTTTATAGTGCAGGAGTAATTTCTGAAACACTTGTTTGCAACATGGATTGTTCCAGGAAAGATCATTAAACAGGACTGAGGAGAGGCAAACTCCTTCATAAATGCTTCCAAGCTTTTAACCCCTAAATTTCAAACTAAATGAACAAGACTTTAAGTACTGTTTTCTGAGAAACACTCTTAAAATATTCAAAAATTATTTTTACAGAAGTATACATTACTTATATGTATCAATTACTTGATCAAATATATAAAAATTTGAAGTCACTGTGCTGGTCTTGGGCTGAGTAGTACCTACACAGTAAATATGAAGAGGTAGAATATGTAATTTTTATTACTACTACTGAGTGTATACCTCCAGTAAAAAATCCTTGAGTACCTAAGTCTTAAAAGCACCTTTTGACCCACCCTGCACATTATCAGTCGATTCTCAAGTATTAACTTGTAGCATTTTCAGTTCCAGGTACACATCCTCTGCCATGTTCCTGGTCACCTGCTTCCTATAATCTAACAGTGTGAACTCAAGGAATTTGTCATTTCTAATACTACCAGGAAACACAATTTATAATGGAAGCAACTATGTAATGTTGTAAAATCAAACAATTCTGCATTTAATTATCCTCAGTGTTATTTAAAATAGATGCATAGAAATTTAGTATTGCAGTAGTTTAATAGAAGATAAGCAAACATTAAAAAAATTATTCAACACAGCATTATGTTACTAATATGGTAACTAAACATGCAAAAACTTTTTTTGACTTCATGGGATGGTTAAAACCTCGATTACTTTTTTAAAATCTCTAAACTCACATAAAATGAATAATGTCCAATATACAAACAACTCCATCAATTTAAAAATGCCCTATTTCAGAATTTTTTTAAAAAAGGTCACTTAATTCCTCCAGGTTATTATGTAAATTTACACTTGTCTTCCATTGGAAACTTGATCATAACATGGTAGTAACCGGGTACACTGGCAATTCTTTTCATAGCATCTGCCTGAGTCAGGAGCAAGTGATATTAAGTAGTGCAAACTGGAAAGAAAATCACTGTGGTCTTGGGGATAAATTTTTGTACTCCCGCAAGTATGTATACTAATGCGTATATATAAACACACATGCCCACAAAAAAATAGTACTGGCCAGCCATTACTGTGGAAATTCTGACCAAGGTTTAAAATGCAAAATCCTAGCCAAGAGGAAACAAGGTTGGCCCCAAACACTATTTAAGAAATAATATTTTCTTGCTTATCCTAGGTTTTTATGGTAGAGTTAGCATCTACCTTTGATGCTGTAACAATGATTTTTTAATTACTCTAGAAGGTTTTAACACACTAAAGAACCAAAAATTTAGAGAACCACACACTGATTTCTTCTGGGACATTACTTAAGTTAAACATTTTCAAAATTCAAAAGCAAATTAAGTAATACTAGATTTCAGCTTTTTGAGAATTTAGAATCACTGATTGACACAGTGATTGTTTTGTGATGCTTAGTATCATAAAACAGAAATTCTCCAAATGGCATTATTGTTCTTATTTGCCTGGTAATTATAAAAATTAAACCTTTAAAACCTCATTTAATTGATTCAAGGGCAAGTAAAAAAAAATTCTGAGCTATTGATTAACCCATGCCATGAAGGGCACACACCCCCAGAAGGTATGTAGTAAAACGCAGTTTATAGATCCTCTGATGTGCTTACACTAAAGAAGAATCTCTGCTATGTCTACATTAAGGAAGTTCTTACAAATTATTCCTTCTTACAGTTGTATCAAAACAATATAGGATGCTGTTGGTGGGGGAAGGAGGGGAACCCAAGGCGAAGACAACAACAACAAGTAAAACCTCCAAAAAAAATGAAAGGAGAAAAAATTTTGATTTTGTTCACACATATGAAGATCAAAGTCCTTAAGCTTCAAGTTCTGAGACATGATACCCAGTTTCATTTTAAGCACCTGGATAGTATTGTTTAACCCTTTGAAACAAAAGTTAAAAGTCAATTCCTTATAATGTTAACTACGTCTCAAAATTTTTTGAAAAATCTATTCCTTATTTTTTAATGTTGAAAACGTTTATTTGCTTCAAAATGTTATAAATCACATAGAATGAATAAAGCACATATGAAGAATGGAACACCTAGCTTTGCTAGAGTTTATGCTTGTTCTAAAGACCTGACTCCACTGAAAACCTCAGATTTGAAACACTACTACTATTATTTCTAGGCAGCAGAACTGGAAAATAAAAGGTTAGAGGGTATCTCTGAGTCCCTTCAAAAAGGTGAGAGGAATCCACTAGGCAAATACCTTTTTATCCTATGGACTAAACTTGTGTTCTGTACCAACATAATCTGCTTCATATATGTGATTAGATAGACATGCTCACTCCCATCTCCACTCCAAAAGAAAAGCGCACTTACCTGTGTTTACTGAAGAATTATAAAGACTATTGATTAAAAAGGAAAATTTCTTTAAAAGATTTTTACCATACGAATATTATAAATATTAAGAGCTGTTTTTCAATCTGCGACAAACCGATGTCTTATTGTAAGGTAACAAAAAGTACTATACTGCCCACAGTTTAGACCTTTTAAAAGTCTTCATTAAAACTATACTCCCAATGTAATATCAGATTCTCAGTTCTTAGTATATCAACCTTTAGTTACAAGGGGCTTATGTAATGAACGCAATACTTAGTACATACATATTCATCTTGAAAAAACAGTTATGCTACATTAAGATATGGTAAAGAAAATATATCTAATCAACAACTTTAGAATTAATAAGTAATGGAAATCCAGCTTTTCTGGCAGGTAGTATCTATTTGCAGCAGCCAAAATTTGCTACAGAGTGAGTTTATCCAGATTTAGAGGCAAGAAAAGGAAAAGGAGATAAACATTTCAACATGGTGTATACTGCTTGTTATTAGTTTTCACAAATGAGGGAAAGATGTAATCAGCAATCATTAAATGCTAAGAATTTGCCAATTAGTATTTTACTTCCCTTTACTTATGTTTTGATAAGCAATCTCTAAAATTTCAACTCTGTAAGATTTGATGCACAAGAACATAGAAAATGTTTCAAGGGAAAAAATAGTTTTAAGTTAGACAGGCTGTATCAAAAAGTTGTGTTCTAGAACAAATTTGTCTAATGACCTAAAGCCTGTATCTAGGAAAATACAAAAAAAAAGCCTATGTGATACAAACAATTACATTAAAGACTTTGATATAATTTTGGGTATTGCTATATACTTAGTCCAGTTTCCCAAATAGTAAGAGCATGCTTTTTTTCTGGCAACTAGAAGATGCACTGTTGCATGCAGCAAAGATATTACAGGAGAACAGGGCATTGTTAAGAGTTGGAGTGTGAGAGTTAAATGACATCTTTCAAATCCCTTGAATTCTAATTCCATCAACTTGTAGTTAAGCAGGGCCTTTCCCCACAATTACCACATGCATACATATTTGAATACAGGCACAGAAACTTGTTATTTTTATTTGGGTAATAAAGGGTCTCCAAATTATATTGAAAAATAAATCCTAGTTATGTAACTCCTGTAAAAAATTTTTTAGCACATTTTTCACAAATGGTTCATGTAAAAGAGAAGAAAATACACATAATTTTATAATATCTTAAACTTTTTTATTCCCTACCAGAGACATTTTGTCCTTCATTTTCTTTCAGTTTTCTACAATTTCCAAGTTGCACCTGTATTTAATACTGCTTTAATCTGTTAAAGACATTAACTCACTGCTCTCCTAAATCTAAGGATTATATAGTTTTAGTATAAATATATATCACATATTTTTGTAAAATTTTGACAAAACCGAATAAGCATGCCTTGTTTTAAGTCCATGCTCCTTCCACTGTTTATAAAATCTGATTTAATGATCAAAAATTGGTTGTCATTCTTCGGTTACAACAATCTTCCTTCTGAATTGCCACTCACTTTTTTTTACATAACAAGCAATAGAAAAACCAACGAAATTATCTTAATCTTAGTTCTTCCTTTTGACACTATAAAATAATGTGAACTCTTTTTCAAAATGAAACAAATACATCCAAAACGCAATACATTCAAATGAGCTGTATCTTCTTTAAGGTAGTCACCTTGGAAGACCACAGTTCATTCTCCTAAGCTACCAACCACTGCTCAAAATACCTTTAAAATAACTCTTTTGGGATCATCTTCAAAGCCAGTTGCATATTTTCTATTATTATCTCCAGATAGATTTATTTTTTTTGGAAACTGTCAAAAGTCAATTGGTTTCAAGTAACAGTGACTATAAAACAATCAAACTTGGAAACATTTTTTTTTTAAACAACATGTTAACTGTGTAAAGTTAATAGTGTGTATGACTTAAATTAGCTCTGAATGTAATTCTAAAAGAGCAAAACCCAACAGGTTCTGAGCAATGGCAGATTGCTGGAAGTAGGAAATAATTTTCCAGCATGATCACTATGCAGGGTAACATTCATTTAGCTGTCTATGTTCTGGCATATTTGTTTAAAGTGAACATTCTGAGAGTTAAATTTATTCTTTTAAAAAGGAGTATCATTCTTAACAAAAAAACAAAAAAACAAAAAAAGAACTTTATTCCTTTAAAGCATCACTGCCAAAGTAAGCACTATACAAGCATTTTGTTAGAAACTAGTTCTTACTTTATCAATAAAGACTACTTTAAAAAACTTGAAAGCAAATAACCAACCTATTTTCTCCCAGGCTTTTTAAAGTCATTTACTCAAGATAAAATAACCTGAAATTTCTAAGGTACTAAAAAACAAACAAAAAGCCCAAATGTAATAAAAACACATCAAGAACCAAACTACAATTTCTGAGCTGCACTGTTTATTTTGCTGCTTGAAACCTAAGTGACAGTATGCCACTATCATTATGGGGTTTCATCTAAACCTTTAACTACACTGCAGGTACAGAAATATACGGACACGTTTTTGGAGAATTGACATTTTGCAAAATGCAGCAAACATTTTAATTTATACATGAGAAAAGGAAGTGTTCAAAAGTATATGCATTTCAAGTTATTGCAGGTTATTTGTGAGAGAATTTCTGCAGGTAAAACATGTTTAAATTTAACCAACAGTAGCGTGTCAGTGTATTTAAAATCATGACAAAAATCTTCTCTCTGGTCATGTTGCCCATGACAAATTACTATGATGTTGTATGTTTAGGGCAAGATGTCAATACAGCATAAATCCCATGGCATTTTGGTTTTCTTCTGGAGATTAAAGCTGTTTTTCTTGGGATAAATGCAGCAGCAAAACACAAACCAGTTGATCAAAAAAAGCACTTCTGCCATAACTCCAATAATTTTCAGGACACATCAACCGACAGTAGTTTTGCCATTCCCAGTTCTTTTAAGGATTACATCTCTGCACTGTTGTCTTAAGTATGTCTGTAAAAGCTTGTTCTCTGTTAAGCCAGTTTACTGACTACAGCCTGGTTGAGAGAATTTAGTTGGTTGGTCCATTTATCTAGTGCAGTATATCGGGCACCGCCCCTCTTCTGATGATCTAATTCAAGGAGTTGATTGACTTGATCAATTCGGCCATGAATAGTGCTGGAAATGAACATATAAAAGATGACATGTCTACAAACCATTTTCACTAAGCTTATCTTTTGGACTAATACTTCCTAAAATACTCACAATATCAATAAATGCAAGAGAGAAAAAAACTGTTGCCTCCATTAAATGATTTGAGTTTAGCATTAATTATAACATTAATTACCTTACTCAAACTCTAGTCAGAAACCAGGTATCAGCTACCTTTAAACTTCACTGAAAGAACCAATAGGCATAGACTCACCCAATTAATCAGGAGCAAATACAATCTGTAAAGCTTTCAATAACATACTGTTTCTATGAAACAATGTCAAAATTTACTACATACCATACTTTATAATTTAAAAACATAAAAAAGCACTATTCATTAAATAATTCTCTAGCTGTATATGGGTCATATGCTGAATGAGAAATCCTTTTGAAAAACAATTTAAGACTTTCAGAGATCATGTGCTTTATATGCTGATTAAAAAAAAAAATCACACATAAGTATCTTTTAACAAAAGATCATAGCCAGAGGGTGCTTTTTGTGAAAGATCAAGAATTCAACTGCTACCTTTGCCACCACTATTTAAACTTTGTGGTCCTAACCATCTTATTATAAAAAATAGCCAAATACTTACTTATCCAATATGCACTGCACCAGCAAGCTCTCCACATCAGCTACATCTATGTTTAACTCCTAAGACAAAAGACTCATTATAATTCTAGCAATTAACTTTTAAAAAGACTTCATGATTTTACAGAAATAACTTTTCTGATTCTAAATTCATTTCTATCACTTAAAGAAAAATTAAAAGACAATTTAAAACAAATTTCATTTTCACTTAAAAATATTTCTGAGAACACAGGTCTGATAAAATTTAACTTTATAACTTTTAAATTATATTCCTACTACAATTTTATTGTGATTGGGGTTAACCCTATCAGTCGTTGTACGTTTTAGCCACTACTCTCTCCTACAGTTTTCTCTGAGGCTGAAGACATCTTTAAAAATAAATTTAATGATTTGTTACTTTTCTTTTAATTCAATTTATGCCAACAAACAGGAAAATTCACATGAAAAGGTAAGCCCTTAAGTTATGCTATATTAAAAAAAAGGTAGTATTACAAAATGTTATAAGAACCACTCTTAATTTTAAGTGAAAGATAGATATACCTGCATTCACAACTACAAATTGTAAAAAATAAAATCCATGAATAAATGTACCTTAGAAATAAAAGGGATATGTATTCTTGTGTAAGGCTTAATTAATTTTATGAGCACTTGTGTTCTGATGTTACGCAAAAGCTCTAGAAGACAAAAATTAAAACAATACATTAACAGTCTGTATAAATCAATGTGTACTTTAAAATCATATTAATTAACTATGTTATTCACCACAATACATCGTTTTGTCTGGCCAAGAACATTAGGTATTTAGACCTAAATATATTTGGGTCCAACAAATACATAATATGATTAGAGGCTGTCTCTTCCATAATTTTTTTCTTGTTCCCACCTCATGTTGTGACAGTCCCTGAACTATCCTCTTGCCTGCTCAAAATACTCCAGTAACACTCCAGTGCCCATTTCCTCTACAGTTAACATCTTTCAAGAAGCTTGGTTTATATCAGCCAAGTCCTTTATTTTAGGAACTCTCAAAATCTAGAGTATTATATTTTATACAATAATTTTTACAATTTTCTCCAGTTTGTTCATATACAAGTCTTTTTTTTTTTCAAAAGAACAACTATAGATTCGAGTTCATGAACAAGGCTCCCACTCCACATTTTTCTATATCCAAAAGTGCAGTATCATTCTACATTCATATAAGAACTTTTGAAATGTCTGTTGAATAAAGGAGAAAGGAAGGTGGGGAACAAAAGAACATGACTTCCAAGGTATTCTTTGGATTTTCCTGATCCATCTGAAATTTAAGCATTTCAAATGGTTATTTAAAAACCCTCAAATAGCTTCATAACAGGTGGGTACACTGGAGGGCCTAGAACAAAGGGACGATTTTTGTCTTTCTTAATACAACAGAACTTATTAAAAATCTCATACACTTAGTGGTAGGATGTTAGCTTACCTTTCAAAGCAAATGTGTCTCAACATTATCTTTAGCAGGCTATTTTCAAAACTTTTGTTAGTTGTCAAAAATAAATCCTAAAAATTAACTTTGAACCTAAGCATCAGTAATAAAAATGTAACAATATCTAAATTAGAATAAAAAAGTAAAAGGGACAGCCACTTTAAAAAAAATGGACATCATGTAAGAACTTGATTATGTTAACATGAGACTGGCTAGTGATTTCTTTAAAATAGCTGTATCGTTTCATGCAAGCATTTAGAAACCTTTGTGTACTTTGCAATAAAAAGGGAACTAGCTTAATTCCATGCAGCTCTATTAAAAAGTACTATTAAAAGTGGCAAAGAAAGTTACTGAACTCAGCAGAAAGAACATACCTTCAATGTGTTCCCTTATGAAAGGATCATCCATGATGTTGCTGTGGTTTGTTTTCAGAATCTTTTCAAATTCAGTGATGTCATTATTCTGATAGGCACTATCAGAAAAAAGAAAAGTATCATTTTTATCAAACATGAAGTCATATGTTAAATCAGATAATCCAAAGAGCCTGTTTCTCAGTTTTTATATGCAAATATCTACAGTGCAGTTTCTATCATGAAAATTGGAGTGAGACATACACATCCTTCTGCAAATAAAAGGAATTTCCTTTTTAATGCTTTTGGTTTTAGAAAGTTAAGAATAAATTAATTGTTTTGGTTATATATTTATACATAGCTACTTAAAATCTCAAAATTTTAGTAGTATTAAGAATTGACAATTGTTTAATAACTGTTTAATACTTGATGCTTTCTAATTAAATTGTGCGTTTAATCCTTAACACCCCAGCTTTCATGCATGCTACTGTATGGAGGAATCTGGCTTGTCTTTCAGGTAATACATCCTCTCTGAAGGTTATTCAGAAATGCAGCTTCCGAATTTTTATCTTCTAGAAAGCTACCAGCAACTACCAAAACTTTTCAAAGGAACATTTGATTCTCAATTTTCTCTGGCCTTAAAATTCCACTGAGCTACACAGTGGAAACCTCAGTGGCAGATAATTAGTGCCAAATGGGAAACACACACCAAGTTGAGAGTGATGGACCCTGATGCAGAAGGCCAAAGGCTGACTTACGGTCATGATGCTCTGAGGTGTCTAGTACCCACTACTGAAATAATTCTGCAAGGCACTAAAGGGATTGCTAAAGGTGCTGAGAAGGAAGAAGCCAACCTTCTGGATATGGCACCTCTGTCTGCCTTATATGTAAGACATATCATCAGCCATTCTGCATGCCCTCTGCTTGCTTCCATCTGTTGGGTCGCAAAGTAACTTCATGTTAGGGGCAGGTGAGTCAAGGGCTTCAACAGGAATTACTTTCCTCTAGTCTGCTGGCAACTGACTAGGAAGATAAAATTAGGAAGCATTACTTTCTTACCTACCCCAAATACGTTACTGTAATATATTACAGGAGGAAATATTCAAGTAGTGAAAACACTTGAGTACATGTATATTTTAACTGAGACATTTTTGCACTATTTAAGTGGCTTTAAAAAAAAATCTTACACATGATGTGGGACACCATAGCCACTTGTTTGGGTCAAAAATGTACCATTAATATAAGTTTTCAAGTTCCAATATAGAGGCTTCACTGGAATACATCAAAGGATACAATAAATACAGCTATTATTTTTTAAACGTCTGATAAGTCAGCCCTTTAATCCATTTAACATACAACCAATTTAATTTAGATAAAATATTAATGTATAGGGCAAAACTTTCCTCAAGATTTCCTTGAGAGTTTTAAAAATTTAACCTGTTGCTTAGCAATTTAACTTTATAAACAATTTTTAATATGCATTATGAAGTTAATCTCTACCTAGATGATCTTTAAGTAATATGGCTAAATGTAGATGCAATAAACTGAAATAAAGATGGAGAAATCTTTCATAACTAAAATCAGCTTAATTCAACAAATATATAATAAAATAAACTAAGAGCAAACAATAAACAAGAAATTGATTTTTTTAATGTTGCAATTTAGGGTTCTAGTCCCCTTAAAATAAAAACATTCATATTTTTTTACAGCTAAAATTAAGGTTTTCTTAAAAAAAGAAAAAAAACAAAACATAGTAATTTATAAAAGTCATAGCCAAATAAAAACAAAGTAAATGATGATATTCTACATAGCAGTTTACACATCATGAAATATCTTCTCCAAGTATGTACTCATAATTTAGTCTAACAGTACTTGTTTTTGAATGAAAAAAAAGTTATTAAGAGAATGTCTAGTCACTTAAATTATCTTCATATATCTGCAAAAAAATTCATGCCCTACGATTCTAACTATATTCTTCTTGACTTCATAAACAAAGCTATACAATCTAAAAACAAAGGACTTGAAGAAACCCAGTTAAGTTCTCAAACCTTTCTACAAAGAAAGCCCACTAAAGCCTAGGACTCCATTTATTCCTGGCCCAGAGAAAAATTCTTCTTGCTCACTGACTTCTTTTGCAAAAACAGGCCTTTTCTTAGCTTTCTGCTTGGTTTTATTATCTATAATTTTGCTTAACATCAATTATTATGGCAGGTTTTTCAGTTGCTAACCATCATCAGTCATATCTTTCTCCACAAAAGCCATCTTTTGGTTTCTGACCAGTATGACCTTCCTGCTCCTCATCTCAGAAATTATCTGAAGTAAGGTTATTTTTGATTTTTAAAATCTTGTCAATCAAGAAAACATAAGTACAGAAATTGTCTTACTGAAAATCGTTGATTTATGTGGACCAATTCATAATTTAATTTTGGACTAGGCAGGTAGAAACAGGAAACAATGTGGAATTATTTTAAAACATACAATTAGCTTTCTACTGAAAAATAGCATATGCACACACGTGGATAATAAGGGAAAAAAGCAGCAAATACTTAAAAAATGTCATGACTAAGAGAAACAGTAGTATAAATGACTTCAGAAAATAAAGATTTCACAAACTTTGGTATATTTTAAACCAAGATAAGAAACAGCAAATACTGAATATTAACTGAATTCTGAAAAGTCATCTCCTCTCTCTTCCTTTTATTCACTGCTTTAAGGAAATTTACCTTAACTGAAATATAAAATCTTACCTTACTAAATTCGTCATTGCTAGAATTTCTGGATCATTTTTGTAGGGTTTGGCCTAAACAGTTAAGAAAAAAAATTACTATGTATACGTACAAAGAAAGAGTAACATTTATTTCCACCAAAGGTAACTGAGAGAAATCAATCATTAGAGCACACACATACCTCCTGTGAGTCAAATGGATTTATTCCTGATTTCATTAGCATATTTGCTAAGACCAGATATTTTAAGCAAGTGGTTCGCCTTGGACTTCCTGATTCATCATAATTCTTGAAGGCTTCAAAAAAATCAGTGTGTGCCTTTTCAAATTCACCTTCTCTTAAGTGCATTTTACCACCACATTCTGTAAAGAATAAAACAGGAGAAAAGAGGACTTTTCAGTTCTGTAATAATAAAACTGACCACTTTATAAACTATTTCAGTGGCTCCCACTATTGTAATTCTACAGCCTGAACAGTATAGTGTCAGTCAGGGGAGACTTAATTCAAAGAAGCAAGCTCCTCATTAAACGTCAGCCAAACAAGCACTTGCAAATCTATTCTCAGTTAAGTAGAAAAGTAATTTTATGTATTTCATTACAATTCAAGAATGTAACTTTTGATGGTAAATTTTCTGTTAATAATATCTTCACTGATATAAATTTATAAGACAAAATTCATCCTATTTCTTCCTAAGGCTAGATCATTCATTGACTTTATACTTCGCCATTTACTTTCACCAAAACAGAAACAACCTTCAGAGTCATTCAGTCATATGCAATGACACCCTGACATCTTCCCATGACAGTGCCTACCCTCTCCAAACCAGACTTGCCTCTGATGACTCCCATGATCAGTGGATGAGGGATGGCTGACTTGATGTGAAGTGACTGTTCATAGAGTGCTTTAAGTTTTTTGTTATTTTTCTGTGCCGTGTACATCTGAATTTCCAAAGCATATATTTCTAATAACTGTGTACCTTTTTTCAGGTCATCTTCCCCATCATCAGTCTAGGAAAGCAAATAATGAACTTTAGTCAAGATCAAATTCAGTCAACCTAGTAATTTGTTTTTGTTAGCCTGAGCACTTTACATTTATAATATGGATTCAGTGTGAAAATGCACTACAAATTTTAATTGGGACATAGAATACTAAAAATACTACCTTTAATAGATAAAAAGGAACCCACACATTATTTGTGTTTTCTAGTCATTCAATAAGTATAAAGTGGTCAAAGATTTTTTTTAATGTATAAAGTGTTATAATGTTTGTTTTTATCTAAGAGATCATTTACTGCTTCCCCAAATCTTCATAACCACTTTAGATCCACTGATTCAGTCAAAAAGCACTTTCCAAGTGCCTTCCTAGTGCCAGGTAGTGGGTCTACCTTGGGGAAATACAAAGTTAAATAAGCCAGTATTCCTGACCTCAAAGAATTCACAACGCAGAAGACTCATCTGTCAACAGGTAAATGACAATACAAATGATAATGATTCTAGTTGTAGCATGAGCCACTGCCTGCAAGAATGGAAGAGAAAATTCCCTGGGGATGTCATCTCCTGAGAGATGCCAAAGGAATAACATAGGTGATGACATTTGAGTTTGACTATGAAAGATGCCCAACACCCTGCAAAATGCAGGCTATGAAAAATAGCAAGTCAGATAATCATAAATATAAAAAACTGACATACACAAAACCAAAAATTATTTGCTTTTCCAACTTAAAACTTATTTAGTTATTAAATGAATCAAAGTAAACAATAGAATACGTGAGACAATTTGTACATCCAGATTATCATGTATTTCTGCTACACAATAATGTTATTTATAATCCAAACAGTATTTTCCTTATGTTCCAAAATAAACCAAGGAAAAACTCCAGAGGGCTTTTTCATATTCCTTATACATACTGAAAAGAACCTCTTCCATTCAGAAATTTCCAGTGAAGATTAGAAACAATTCATAAATGACTGGTCTGCTTTATAAAACATAATTAGTATGAAATATAAAATTTTCTTTTTTAAAAAAAAATGTAAAAAAACAAATACCGCCCCCCCACCACAAATCTATTAAATGAAAATACCCACAGGTGGTCAATTTAGAATAGCTTCCTGATTAGCTTTCCAATTCACAGAAATAACATATAAAATAAAAAAATTCCATGGCATCAGAAGAGCTTAAAATATTTAAAATTTAAACTAACACCTTACTGACCAAGACAAAAAAGGAAATACAAAATTACAGCACATAGTTACAAGGTTATAAAAGTACACTGTCCAGACCACATTGCTATTCAAACTTAAAAAACTCAGTGCCTCTAAAACACTAGCCACATTTTAAATGTTTAATGACATGTAGCTGGTGCTACCATATTAGAGAACACAGTCTCTAGCATCATGTAAAGTTTTACTGGACTTTAGGTGTATTACTACATTATAAACTAGAATATAAAGTATCTTTGTATCTATGTCTACAATATCCATGCTGATTTTGACAGGGTGCATAACTAAATATGCAAGGTTTATTCCTACTAAATATTAATAACTGGTCTGTTCATTTCCTGATACTTGCCCCTCATTCCACAGAAATAAGGACTGAAATTAAGATTAAAACATTAAGAAATGTAATAGTCAAACAAATCAGCTCTTCGGTAATTTATTTTTCAAATTTTGTTTTTGGAATGATACTTGAAAAAAACCATCCCTAAGCAACGTTTCAAATACAATTTTTCTTTATGCTTTTTTAGTATGAAGAAATATTAAAAAAAAAAAGGGAATGCTACCTGGCAGGACTGATGTAACTGGCGTAAAATTTTTTGAAGCTTTCCATATTCTTCTCGTTCTAAATATAATTTCCCAAGCTGTAAAAAAATAATCTTATTAAAATATTTCAATACAAAGTGTGTATCTTTAGGAGAGTTTATTAAGGACACCCGCCCACTCTTCAAAAGAAAAAAAGGGAAGTGATTGTAATTGTTACCTTTGTGTTTGTTTTAAACCACAGTCTATCATTCTTAGCATCTTTCAAAGCTTCCAGTGTTGTTTCATAGAATTCCTGCAGTAAATCCATCTGACATAAAAAATCAGAATTCTATAATTGTAAACAGCAAATTTGTACCTGTTAATAAAGTTAATTTGAGCAAACTAAAGTGCATCTTTGATCTTAAATACACGTAAGACACACTACCTGTATCCTTACCAAATGTTTGCGACAGTCCACAAAATTCATAAAACCTTAGCAAAGTACAGTCCAAATTTACAGAAAGGTTAAGTGCCAAGATCTGTTTTTATTTGAGTTTTAAAATATAAAAACCAAGAAAGTATCTAATGCTCTAACAGTTTTGTCTTTTCCAATCGAATAACTTATTTTATATTAATGGAAGTAAATGACACACACAAAGAATTAGTTGTACTATTATTAATAGTGAAAATCTTATTCATTAACTCTTATTTGGTACCTATTATGTGGCAAACACTAAGCTGCTAAAAAAATGAAAAGCAGGCTTCTTCCTTCAAAAATTATATAAATGTGATTAATCAATTAACTGGACTACACAGCTTTTAAGTTACTGGTAAATTGTGGGCACAGGTGGAGGGAAAAGTCTAGCATGATTTTAACTGTGTCTAACCACCAATTCACCAATGAGTGTGATTTTTTCCATAGAAACCACTGATCTGCATTATGATGAGCTCCTCTGTCCCTCTTTCTCCTTACTTCTGGCTCTGTCTTTGTTTGAATACCTGATTCTCTAGATCTCTATTTAACAGGATCCTAAGGTAAGGCTATGAGAACAGGCAAGTGTGATGCTTTCAGAAAAGGGTGCCTTACTTATTCATCTCTGCTCTGGCATACTGAGTAAGTTGAGTGCCACCCACTCAGTATCTATTCTTGCTTCCAAAAGATGAAAAGCTTATGTGCCAATATGCACGAAGCAACATGCAATCTTTTAAAATTACTTAATCCCCAACCCCCACATCTGGCATTTATAAATTAACATTTATAAATAGTGTGCCAAAGACATTTTAATGACATTTATTTGTAGTTATTTTCCCATATAAGAAAAGCCCTCTGATACTTAACAACTCTAGAATTAGTGACATTAAGTGCTAATGTTCTAACAAAAATAGTTTATTTTCCTCTACTTCTATTACTCTATTTTAGATATAAAGTAAAAATAAACATAATAAAGTGCATCAAGAAATAAAAATGACATCTAGTAAAGACAGAATGAAAGAGGCTGATTCTGAGATGAATATATTTATTATAAGGACAAAAGTATCAAATGTTCTAAGATACACCAAATGATACAGAGAGTACTTCTTATGCTCAAATATCACAACTGAGAAAGCTAGACGTTAGGACTACATTGCTTAAAACAATCTAATTAAAATTATCTAAGCAATAAAATAACACAAAATAACTGCTTTTCTTAATAACAAAACCTAGAGTAATGAAAATACTATCATGTGCAATGCTCACTATAGTTTCTTCATCATCAGACCTTCCCTTCATTATTCTTTGTCCACTTGTTCTTTGTAGAACTACTTCTTGAAAACCTGACGACTAATGCCAAGTACTAATTGATATGAGTACAGGTTCTACTCTTAAGGATCTTTATCTAATCAAATCTACATAAATCACCTAGGATTCACTGTTAAGTACTCAATAGCCCAGGATGGCTAGCTTTAGTGGTGTTTATTAGAAAGAACTATGAGTAGAACTGTATGGGAATCTAATGTAAGCCTGTGAAAGTTCTGTGCAAATTAGGTTAATATCTGAAGATATTATTTACACAGATTAAGCTAATATTATGTAATGAGTACTATCATCAAGAAAAGAGTATATATTATTTTTAAAGCACACTATGAACTAGTATAATTGCTTAAATAGAACCTCTAGGCCTTCTTTTTTAAAAAAAGAGCAAAGCTCTTAGAATAACTAATAAACACATTGATAAGTACCAAGAAGAAAAGACAGTCTAACCTGCTTAGAGGTGGAGATATAATCAAGAATAGAATTAATGGATTTTTCAGAATAATTTCTTGTGACTGCACTCCGAATATAGGTCAATAGCTGTTTATATCTGTTCATCATTTCTGGAAAGTTTGTCTGTGAGGCGAGAAAAATGCATTATTAGATGCATTTTATGTACTAAAATGTGTACACAAGATTAAAATTATAGTACATATTACTACATAATTGAAAAATAACAAAGTTTTATGATAGAACTGTGTAACACAGAAACACTAAACATTTTAGCTCAAATGTGACATTACTAGATTACTCAGATACATGTACCAAATATATGAAGTTTGCCTATGAAAAAGCACAACTTAAAGATTTTCCAAATTTTAGATACTGTTCCTCAATGCCCAATAACCACATTTAAATCACACAAATTACTAAAATATCAGCTACATCCTCTCTTGATGATTTACCCCTTCATCCAGAAGCTCTCTAACAATAGTTATGTGTTCTTTTTCTATCACTGGCTGGCTCTACATTAAAATACAGAGTTAAGGAATCTCTTCAAGTCCAGGTACTCATCCCACTATCAAGAAAAGTCCTCCCACCTAAGGCTCTACTCAATAGTAGATGTAACTAATGTTGCTATTCCTATTTGCACAATTGTGATTATCCCAGAAAGACATGGAAGATCTGAGGAAATAAAGGACTATTATTGAAATTTCCAGCACTGAAGTATTCTGGAAGAAGGTCTATCAGCCCCCAGAGTATATCATGTAGGTCAACTTGTAAGTCTAACCTTACAAACCTTACAACCTGCATCCATGGTCTCTACAATCTCTGACTGCTATTAATTCCTCTTTTTACTGGGTTTGACTCTACTTTTAACCAGAGAGATGGAGCACTGGCAGATATAATGCTTTTTTTCCTGACAAACAGAACATGTGTGTTTATTAGTGTAAAGAATAAACTAAGGATATTGTAATTTTCCTGTTCATGACTATGTCCTGTCCTGGGATATAGCTTGAGGGACAAGAAAATACGAAAACACTCCCTGGAACCTATGCATGAACTGAATTACAAAAAAGAAAACAGTGGCTGGGTACACGGGAAAAATTGGATAGACCAATGGGAAAAGCTTTAGCAATATGTATCAAACTACTTTTGTTTCCACGTGTGCCAATTCCACATACAGGCAAACGATGGGTAACATCCTATTGGTGCGCTGCTAAAACCTAACTTATAGAACGTATCTCATGGCAAAGGGAAATTAGAAATGACTGTCCCAACTTTGAAACTTTATCTTGACACTGAATAGGATGTTAGAAAAAAGTTACTTTTAGATTCATTTCCTTATGCTGTAATAACTTTAAAGTTCGTTTTTCCAAAAGTATGTTACTATAGTTAAAGATCAGGAGACAAATAGATAAACTGGTTTCATTAGCAGTGGTGAACACAGCACAGTTGGTAACAAACCGTTCCAACTTTTTATTGCCCCAAACCACTACAAAGCACCATGGGTCCTATTTCGAATCCAACAAGAGAGGTGGGGCATGGATGGAAGCTGAAACTAGTCTTGCAAATGACAACTCATTCACAGATGCTGCCTAGAACAAATAAAAGGCAAAGAAGGGAAGTAGGCAAAATAACACAGAACACAAATAACCTTTACTTGCTTCCCATCTTGGCTCAGGGTAAAATGGCAAAACCAAGGCTTAAGGGTAGCATATGTTTAAATGGGTTCAAAATCTAAACCACAGCTAGTATGTTAACATAGATTTCTATAGGGTCCCTTGGTGTTATTTCAGATCACAGCATCTTAGGAGTTGAATATTGGGTCTCTAATGTCACTATAATTATTTAATCAAAATCTCTGTCCCTTCAGACATCTGATGCTTCTTCTATAGCCAAGTTACTAATTTAAATATAGTAAATATTGTGTTTAATATTTCCACAAACAATAAATAGAAAACAAGGGCTTTGTACAATAGATGAATATCACAGCAGTAGAACTAGAAAGGTTAAATGTAACATAGATATTTTTCCTTTTTTAACTATATTTAAATGCAATATATAATATATTTAATAACATTTAACATGTTTTGAATAGCCTAATATTTTGGAGGGAATGAGCTACAACACTTTTTGGATAGTTTTTGTGGGAGATGTCATGGTGGCTGAGGACGCCAGAGTCAGAGTACATCAAAGAACAGGATGGAAGATTAGTGAGAGTTAACTGGATAAAGACACTGGTCAGTTAAGGGAATTCAACTTCAGACAGATGGGACAGAGAAGCTAATAGGGAGAGGAAGGATGCACATGGGAGATACAAAAATGGGGGAAAAGAAGGTGGTTAACAGATTAACCTTCCATTTGCCATAGAGGCAAGTGGTTACCGTCTACTCACCTTTTCTCAGAAGTTCCACCATCCTTAGTGCTCTTATGATTCACAGCTGTAATACTCTCATCTACTAACCATATCCTTTTTCCCTCCATTTCTACCTTGCACTCTTGAAGAATGGCAATTCTATGAGTACAATGTCATGACAATTCTAGCTTATCTATGAGTTCATTCAACAAAATATTTGAACACCTAGCTCAATGCCAGCCACTATTATAGGTGTTAGGAATATAACAGTGAATGAAACCAAGTCCTGCTCTCATTGAGTTTACTACTTACGGTGGGAGTACGGAGCGGTATGGGGCAGACATGGGGGTAACAGAAAGTCAATAAATAAGTAAAGAGATAAAGTGGTATTTCAAAAAAGAAAAACAGAAGGTAAGATGAAAGTAAGTGATGATGGGAAGGATCCTATTTTACATTGGGTTGTGAGAGGAAGGCCATCCTGACATATATGGTGACATTGAACAGTGAGGAAAAGAGCCATATGGCTATCTGAGAGGAACATCTGGGGCAGGGGATAACAGCAAACAGCACTTGCCTAGAAGTGTGCTTGGGATGATATATGGATAGTAAGGAGGTCATAAGGGAGAACAGAAAACAATATCAGAAAGGTAGCAAAGGGTGAGCTGGCACAGGGCCTTGTAAGCCACAGTAAGGATATGGATTTTATTGAGGGGAGTAGGGACCATTAGAAGATTTGGAGCAAAAACTGAAGTAATCTGACTTACATTTTTAAAAGGATCTCTCTGTTGCTTGTGGAGAAAAGACTGTAGTAGGGCAAGGATGGAAGTAAGAAGACCAGTTAGAAAGTTACTGAAATGATCCAGGTGAGAGATATGTTGACTTGGACCACAGATGCAAAGATAGAAATGGTAAGCAGCAGTCAGATACTGGAAGTATTCTGAAGATATATTAAACCACCTGGATTTACCAATGGATTATTTGTGCGGTGAGACAGAGGAGTCAAATAATGCTAAAGTTTTGTCCCTAATCAGTGGAAGAGGAACTCTTTGTAATAAAAAAGTAGAATTTTGAGACTCCAAAATAAACACTAATAGTTTGTGGAGAAGTTACTCTATTAATAATACAGCCAAACACTGTCCATGTATCAAAAGGATACATTTTCTCCAACAGAAAATTTTGTATCCTATGCAGAATTTTTGTTATTGTTGTATTACTGTAGTCAGAAACACAAACTATGCTAAATATGGAAATACATAAATAGAATTATTTTTGAGAAGTAGATATAATGGCATTTTGTTGCTCGAAGGTTTTACCTACAAAATTTATTTCATTAGTTAAATTCCCCCTCAAAAACAAATCTTACCAACTTGAAGTTTATCTTAATCATTTGTTTCAGTGCTTTAAATCCCCATTCTCCTTTTTCACCTTCAAGTTCCAAAACCTAAAAACAGAAGAAATTTTTGTTCTAACTTAATACTGTTATTTTCTAATGATGGTGGCATCATAGATACAGGCAATGTCTGCTTTGAATTAATTTTACATCTTATGCACAAAAACACTTCCCCAAGAATTCCACCATTTCTGCAATGCCATTTTAAAAAGGCTTAAAAAAGAGCAAGTTTTAAAAAGCTCAAAGTTAAGTGAGCTTATTTGAAGTTCCTTCATTAGATTAAGTAATAAGTACTTATATACTCACAGAAGTACTTTTTTTCCTCTGAATAATCTATTGTTAAGAATAACCCAAAAGTGTATCAACAGTCAAGAAATCACACTATTTAATAGCAAAACCATACCTGTGTGATATGTCTCCAATGAAGGAATAAGATTGCAGGGATAAATACCTAGTGACCTTCATGATGGTTCTGCCAGAACCACACTAGCTTTTCAGGACAATGGCACTGCTCTTTAGGTAGACTGATTGGAAAAAACAACAGGATATCCCTTTTGATATATTTGCTTTGCTGCATAATGCAAACTTAACTCACAGGATTACCCACTCAGTATCCAAAACACTTTTCTGAGATAAAATCACTTGGAACTTATTTGATCTAAGACATCGAAAAAAAAAAAAAAAAAGTTTAGTCGGTAGCAACCAGTAAAAAATACGAACCTTTTGGAAACTGCTTAATGCTGCTTTGGGGTCATCTTCTTTTAATGCTTTGGAATTATAGTATTGATTTTCCAAATCCACATTTGGCTCAGAGTTACTATCTTCAGAGTATTCCTGTGTGTTAGGTATGAAAGAAATGTTAATATGAAAACAAAGACACCCACACACTACACTGCAAAGAGTGAATACTGTTAAGATGGAAAAACCGTACATTTGTACAAAAAAAACCAAACTTGAATACACTGGTAATGTGCCACTAATATTTACCCATTATTTTTAACAAAGGTAAAAAGCCAAGTGGATAGAATAGAATCTTTCAGATCAAAAACACAATTTCCATAGAATCAACACAAAAGCAAAATACAAAGAAACAATATTGGTTAATGACCCCCAATTCTGTGGTGGTTAACCTTTTGTTGGTCATGGAACCTGAGAAAAATCAATGTAAGTACTAATTATTCATCATTAGTTCCATAATCTAATTTTCTCTATTGTTTAAATTTCACTATTACAACATGGCCTAATTGTCTAGGATGGTAATCTCTATATGGCAGAACAGTCTATAGCAGACTATTGTAATCTAAATACAATGATATGTTGATAAGAATATTTGTCTTATGTGCATTTCACATTACTCAGCACCTGTTTATATTGCTGTACTTCAGCTCTATAACAAAGTAAAACAAAATGAGTTTATGTAATTTTATGTGACTTTCATCACATAAATTCAGTTCCTTGAGAACTGGAATAATAAAGCAGGAAGGAAAACTGGAGTAAAAACTATTTTGCGGAGCAGTATAAATAGGAGCTTACAAACAGTTGAAGGATATTTGGTTTAATGAGGATTACAAAAACACATGGATTAGTATAGTGAAAATTACTATTTTAGGAAGACACAAGATTATTTCCTCCAGTATAGGTCATTACAAAGGGCAGGTTTATTGCAAATTAAGAATGATACCTGGAAGTAAATACAAGAAGACAAGAATAGTATTATAGAGTTACTTATAAATCCATATATACACATTTAATACATAAAAAAAATAATAGAAAATTCTGTAATATTTCAGAAAGGCAAAAGAATGAAAAAGAGTACACTGACTGTGGTTTAGGAAGCTCAAAAATACATAACACAAGGTGAATTTTTTCTGTGATCAATAGATGGAGGGGAATGGATGTTTCATGTCAGTATATAACACCAGTTTTATTTCACTACAGTAGCTTTGTAATGTGCGCCCTCTGGAGGATAACTAACTTCCTTGTGTGTGGACATGAAGCACTGATAGTCTGGAATTCAATAATGTTTATTTAACATTTGGAAATCCTTTGGAACACTTAAGGATGAGATCAAATTCTAGGTAGTGAGTAAATTTCATAACCACTCATTCACTTCTTAACTCTGTAATCTAGGTTTGACTACAATGAAACTAAACTAAAAAAGCAACTGATAAAGAATTAACAGGCCAACTGTATCAGACGATGCCATGAGAGCATGGCTTCTTCAGTAGGTATTGAAAGATAAATCGGGAGTTTGTCTGCTAGATAAAATGGGAGAAGGAAAAGAGAACAACAGATACAAAACAGCAGAATGGAGAACTAAAAGCAGTCATATTGTTAGGACATAGGAAGTCCTTACTGATTCTACCTTCAACATCAATCCCAAATCCATCCACTTAGCCTTGCCACCACCCTTGCCTCCTATGCTGCTACTTTCATCCCTCCAGACTGTAGCAGCCTTCCTATTCTTCTCAACCTTCACATCTCAATCTTCTCACAGTAAGCTGCCAGAATACTCTTCATAAAAGGTAAATTATCTCATTCCTGTTCTCAAAAATTGTTTCCCATTGCTCTTAAAAACAAGTTCAAAATCATGCAAATGTGACTCTTGACTGTCATCCCACCGTTATCTCCTACTGAGCTCTCCCTCCCTCACTTTGCTACTGTCACCCTGGCTTTATATCAAAGTGGCCAAAATTCTTTCCACCTTTACATGCTATTTTCTCCCATCTCTTTCTTCATCTGGTTAATTACTATGTATTATTACAACTAAAGTGCCACCTCCTGAGGGAAGATAGGGATTAAGAATCATAGCTGTAAAATCTACTCTACACATGTCGAAGGCAGTTCTTCTCTAGTTAACAGTTCAGTAACATAAAAGAATAGCTAGCTGAACCAGAAAATGACTTTTCTCCACCCAAATCTCCATAATGCACTCCTGAACCTGGAAGTAAAATTTTTTTTATTAACATCTATCACCAAGTCTAAGAATCTGGACTTCTGCTCAAAGCTTTTATTTTTAGGTTCTTGGCCCAGAACAGACTAAAAAAAGCCCAAGTAGGCCAGAATATGAGAGGAGAGAAGTAAAAGCTGAGAAGTACACATGATGGTAGTAAGACATGGCGTTGCTAGCGAAGGGGAAACTAAAAATTGTATTTTAAGAATTAAAAAGATTAATAACTTCAATTGCATGGAATTAACTGATCATACTATTGTTGAATAAAGGAACCTTTACATTTCCTACCATGTCTAACACAGTGCCTTGTCATTCAAATCACTGAATGCCTCTCATAGCACAAAACTGCCTACCTGCAACTTCTGGGACCTGACTGGCTCCAAATTAGCGATTATTTCCAAATTTTAAATGTTGTACTCTCCAAAATCACAATGACCAAGTAAGACTTAATCTAACCCTAAGCATTTTTGTGAATATATTTTTTGTTTTTTCATATTTTATGAATTAAGAATTGCAATGTATAATATTTTTTGCAATTCAACTCTTCAATTATTGCCAAAATATATAACTACATGAGAATGGAGACAACTGGTATGTCACTGACTGGCTTCTTATAATTACAATTTAAGCAATATATGAAAAACCAGCAATTAAGTGTTGCTCAATGAATGCAAATTAAGTCTTTCACCTCAAGTTATCATGGTCAGAGACAGTATACAAACAAAACAGCAATATAACAAAAGCAATTAACAAGAGACACATATTAAGTACAGTGCAGCTCAAAAAAGGAGTGATCACTACTCCTGAGTGAATGAGAGGAAGGGAAGTTACTTGGATCAAGCCTAAAAAGGTATGAACAGGAGTTGCCAGGATGAGGAAGGATAACTGAAACTAGCATTAATGTGTGCAAGGCATGGAAGCTTAAAATGGCACTGCATATTTGGAAGAACCACGCATAGTTTGATTGGGTTGAAACACAGGATATGTGTAAAGAGTTGATGAGAGAGAAACTTGTATCAAACAGAGGAACACAACTACAGCAGTCTAGCAAGGAGTTCAATCAAATGGGGCCACTAAAAGATTTTACAGAGAAATAATCACATTCGTGTTTTAGTAAGAGCACTCTGGTAGCAATGAAGTGGCCCACTGAACTCTCTTAGAATAGTCTGGGCAAGAGATGATGGAGGTCTGATTTGAACTAATAAAATAGGAAAAAAGGAAGAGGACAGAATAAATGTAGATGTCAAGTGATTTAATACGTAAAGTAAGACGAACCCATCACATTGGCACAAGGAAAACAGAGTTATCTCAAATGACTATCAATGACTTAGTTACACACAGTATCATTGGTCAGAACAGGGAATATAGGAAAACTATTAAATAAATACTGTTAAACTGAATTTCCTTATGTCAGATGAATAGGAGTAACTATAATTTGTAAAAGTTTAAATGTTTAAAAGAGAAACTGAAATTTTAATCAACATAATAAGAATGATGTAAAAAACAGAACTGAAGCAATATATGAAAAAGCAGCAACCACATGACATTGTTAAAGGGATTAAAAAAAAAGCACTGTAGTTCATAACAGTCCACCTACTTACATAATAACTCATGTCCCGACATCTCCCCAAAGCAATCTGTGATCCATCCACAACACAGAATTTCTTCTTCCTTTCCCACATGTGCCATGCAATTTAAAACCTCTGCTTTGGTATAAACTGTTTTCTGCTAGAAATAAGAAACCACACTCCCTCCTAATAAACTTGCTTTTCTCCTATGATGCTTCCCAGCCATAAGACTCCTGGGAAACATTCATCAAGGCTCATATTGTAATTCTTTCTCTAACTCTTTTTAGCAAAATAAATTGTCTCCTTAGTCATGCTTCTACATGACATGCACCTCTCTAATACGGAGCTCTGTGTGTATGTTGTTCCTACCTTCCCTCACCTGCCCCAGCATGAGCTTCTCAAAAGCAGGAACTTTCTCTTACTCATCTTGTATCCCTAGAGCCTGGTACATTACAAAATAATCAGTGTTTTCTTAATTGAAATGAAAAGTGGGTGAATGTTCCAAAATAACACAACACACAACATCTAGGGGCAATTTTGACTCCACTCTGGGCTGGAATGCAGCCACTGCGGAAAAGGGTCAGTTCCACAGTTCACCTATTTATTCCTGTGTCTCTTGCCAACAGAGGTCTTAAGAAACGTGCTCTAGGAAAACGACTCACTATGAACAATGCTTCCCAAGCCCTGACAGTGTCTAGACTGCTGTACTAGATGCTGGGCACACAGAGAGGTAATGGCAAAGTGTCATTACCCTTAAAGATTAGATATAATCCAAAGGCAGCCATTTTGTTTAAACCATTCATAGTTATGCAAACTTCCAAAAATTTCACTAGTTAATGGGTCCTAGTTTATGTTCAGTGTATATTAGAACATGTTTATTTGTTCTAAGCTCTCAGTCTTCAAATTAAATTTTCCAAAGAAAGACATTGTAAAAGTCATTAGCCTGGCCTGTAGTTTTGACTCTCCCACTCAATTGACCTGTAAATTTAGGTAAGTTACTCACACTTCATGCTTTCCTTCTCTCCTGTCAAATGTGGGGGTAGAACCCTACAGGAAGTTTCTATTCTTGCTGAGGTCCATGTGTTCATTTTGGGATACAGTATACAAGTACAAATTTGCCCTGTTGGATATTTATAGCCTACACATTTAAGTCAGGGGCAAAAAGCCTTAATTTATCTTATTAGTACAAAAGAGCTGTCTCCCATCACTTACCATTTTAGTTATCCTTGTTTGAACCACTCTATTCACTACATAGGGGTACACGTATGAGATAATGCAACAGACTTTTGTGAAAATGCACCAGAGCTTATATT